CGCTTCTTTCACCAACGTTCAATGATCGGCACTCTCTACGAACTTTGAGCTCCAGCTTTGTGTTTGACGAATTTAGGACCCCTGAAGATTATTTTTCAACTTTCCCCTACCACCTTCATCAACCTCCGTACTTTGTTTTCAAATCTTACAAGTGAGTGTAATAATGTGCTTAAACTTACCCAGTGCCCAAGACGACGACGACTCCTCAAATAACCGGGGAAGAGCTCGACCCCACCAGTCCTCAGTGTCCGACGCAAACTAAAACTAAAGGGCTAGGATACACGTATCAAGAGGGCACCGGTATATCCGTGCCAAGGATTTCAAGATAACGGTCCGTCGATTGTTTGTAGTGTCCAGTAATAGCTTGGCTTTGAAGCTGAGTTCCTGGGATGCGTTGTCTTCTTCTTTTGTATCCGCTGACAATGAAACGTACGAGTACCTCATCGTTCGCTGCTCGGTCATTTTGTTTTCTGATATAGCGCTGCGCAGCAGCAGTAGGCGGGCCTGGCTGACGATTCCGGAGTAAGTCCTCTTCACTGACTACTGGATGAAAACCAATTACGAGACAAACCGGACGTGACGTACGCACGTCAACTTCCGGAAGAGAACGAACGGAGCAGCAGACGCAAAGTGGCCAGACGTGAGGAAAGCGGTAGAGGAAAATAGGTGCGGCGGAGGAAAATGTTACGACAGGCAAGTGTGTATTTTTCTCGCCGCTACTTGCACATGCTAAGACGAACGAGTGAATTACACGAATTAATTTATTCTCTGTCAAACCTTAATTACTTAGAATTTAAAGCAGTGTTCGTTGTATCATTGCCATTAATATTTCTAGACCAGACTACCCAACATATATTAATTTCTCTTTAATATGAGCCCCGCTGTATAGACAAACTTTTCGGGAATGAACTGGGTAAATATGTCTTTAGTCAACCATTTCGTCGTTTACTCTGAGACTGGTTTTTTTTTTAGAAGAGCAGAAGTAACAGAAAAAACAGACAGGTCTCAAACTCAGCTACAAGTTTATTTCAACAACCTCCTCTTATATAGTTCGTTCTCGTCGTCATCAACCTTTAGTCTCGTTGTTTTGGACGACTGACATTATGGAAAATGTTTGGGAGGAACGGAGGTGTCCATAGTAACACTAACGAAACACGGCTCTTCTTGATAGTTGAAATAAGTGCGTTGACAGAGCTAACAACTCACGAGCAAAATAAATAATTAGGGTATACCAATAGACCCTTTCCGAAATTCAGTGCCATCTGGTGGCTGAAATGGCGGTTTAACTTTTGCCATATGGCGGCAATTAACCCGTAGCCTGCAGTATTTTATCGGGCACCGTCACTTTTGCATGTCAACGGCAGACTAGAATAAACTTTTCGCTATACAGGTTTTTTTAGATCATCTCATCCAGTCTCGATTCCCACAACGATGCAACCAGTCAGAGCGAAGCGCCAACCCATACAGACGCCTTGATAAAGTTCTATAAGTCAAGGGGCTTCGAAGTCGATTTTGTGCCACTAACAGGTTTACTGGGCTCGAATTAGAGAAATGAACACTTACGCAGCGCTTGCATTCAATTCCTGTTTCGCAACGTGCTAACGTCTAGAATGTATAGGCCTAGAATCCTCAGCTTAGGAGTATCTTCAACATGTTCCTTCATCAGTAAATAGAAAGCCGCCATTGGTATGGCGCATATGCCATTTTTCAGATGATGATGATAGTGATCAAAGTGGCCAGACTGAATTTCGGAAAGGGTCTATAGCGCAAGTGATGAAAATATTGTACTGGACTGTCGCAAAATTGTAGGCGTTTTAGCCCTTCTTCGAGAGCGCAATTGCATTTTTTGCAATCGAGGCGGGGCCAGCGATGTACCACGCGGGCACCGCGGACGGCAGCCATGTTGGATAATACGCTATTGGCTGACCGTAATCATTACCAGAGGATTCATATTGGTTCTTTCTTACGGACGGCGGGGTACAGTGTGAACGCGCAGATCATAAGCGGCTGTAACGAAAGTTGTCGTAAGAGTTCGTAACGTAACTTAACGTAAGAAATGGCACAGTGTGAACGGGCCTTTACTTGTTCCATTGTGCGAAAAAGCGGCGGCGTTGTGCGCCGGAAAGATGGTCCCACCGATACGTCATCAAGCACGCGTCTCACACAAATAAAAAACAAAGAAAAGCGTAGCAACGCAGATGCTTCGTCTCGGAAGCCGCCTGGGGCGCTCAAGGTCAAAGCGGATGCGCCTCAGAAATAAAACGCAAAGAAAAACACAGCAACGCGGATGCTTCGTCACAGAAGCCGTCGTGAAGCCGTCGGGGTTCGCCGCGCATGCGCATTGGGGGAGCGTGATGTCACCGCCGGAGTGCCGTGTGAAAAAGGAAGACGTGGCGCACTGCTTATAGGAATGCGCTGCGTGTAGAAATACTTTTACATTCCTACACGTAAGCAGTCTTAAGTGTCTCTGCCAAATTCGTTTTTTTTTTGTAGGGCTGTGCGAATAATAGTTTGAATCGAATAGTGTAACTTCATCCCTAGCTTCACTTTCTACGATAGTCTATTTAGGGACATAATTTAAAGCACACTAAATAAAAAAATTATGAGAGGCCGAGGTTTTTTTTTTTTTTTTTATTAAGGTCGGTCTCAAAATAATTACCTCGGAGCTATTGCAGACACCAGAAGGCGCAATCGAACAAGAATAACGGCTTCTCCTCGTCCAAAGGCGCATTGTGATGTCTGCGATAGTTCCAATGTAATCGATCTTTGATACCGATTCTAACGGAGAAATCGGCCACGCACGAATGTAATGCTTGGTTCATTAGGGTTCTTACAGCCCCAAAGACTGAGTTATGACTATAAACAGACTATCGCAGAAAGTGGTTCAGTGCCTCCTTTAGTGAACCGGTTCATCGTGACTTTCCCTTGCACAGCGAAGGCTAGGAAAGACGCAGCGCTTTCCTATTCGAACCGCTATTTACATATTCATGCTTCTTTGCATTTTCTGTCAGTAGTGTTAAGGTGGAGCGTGTTGATGTCTAAATTACGAAAACGAAAGAGGGACAGGGAAGACAAGACAGACAGCACAGGCTGTGTCACCTTTTATTGTCGTTCTTATCTCCCGTTTGTTTTCGTTAATGTGGTTGCGCGATTTCTCTTCTTTTTTTTTATAAATGCAATCAAATCATCAACTGACTCATAAATAAGGCATCTTAATGTTTCTTTTGAAGATTGCTGAGAATCGTCGTGAGAATGTATGGACCCGAGCAAGTAGCTTTAGAAAACGTTTTCCTTGCACGAGTGCTCACGGAAACAAAGTATTTCGCTGTGAGGCTTGCCCTGGCGCTCGTGCTTTTAATGTCCCCGAAAAGAGATCGCAAGATGAAATATGACATCGGCGATGCTTCCATTGGGACCGTCACGCGTACGTGATAATCGGGTGTATTGTGTTTCCAGTTGTCTTGTGTGTCTCTGAATAGACTTAAACCTTTTAAACCTCTAGATGCATGCCCGTACAACAAAAAAGCTCATCAAGATAGAACAACAATAACGGTCATACATTTCGGCAAAAACCCCGAGACTGGGACAAAAAGGGACGGAAAAACACAAAGTCTCGAACACAGCTGAATTTTATTTGACAACGAAGGGTGCTTATATAGGCGTCAAATCCTACACAAATCAAAAGAGACGAAGGAAAGAGAGGGAGAAACCTTCACAAAACAAAAGAGATGAAAGAAAAAAGAGGGAGAATTGAGAAAACCCGTGCCACAAGCGGTACTGCTTGTGGCACGGGTTTTCATAAAAATAAAGAGCTGGCGTTCGCGTGAACCGTAGGATACAATATTACTTTCCGAAACGACGTATAATATTTTCCATTCATGTTTAATTTTTCAGCTTGACATGTACGTGAAACGTTAAAACAAAGTGTTCTATGAAATAGGAATATGTGACACTTTATATGTTTTTGCCTGTGACATTTTCTTGCCTGTACTCTTAAACGAGGACGTATCTACGTAAACACAAAATAAAATTCAGAAAAAAAGATTTGTTATGTTTATCCTCAATTTGGCCACGGTCCCGGTGATTGCCATAGTCAAGGTAATTAAAAACCACGTGTTTTGATCCCGGTCATTGACAAAGCATACCGTCAAATTTTTAAATCGTTTCTTCAAATTTTAAACGCAAGTAGTACTGCGTTCCACATTTGGCGCGCCAAACCTAAATCCGGCTTACAATAAAAATTCTCAGTTCTGAAAAAGAAAAGTTGTTAAATAAAACAACTTTTTTAAAGAACTGAAAAATCTTTTTAAGAGCAAGATAGGAAAAGACTGTTGAAGGCATGGGCATGAGCATGGGCATGGGCATGGGCATGGGCGTGGGCGTGGGCATGGGCATGGGCATGGGCATGGGCATTGGCATGGGCATGGGCATGGACGTTGAAGGCATGGGACAGTCGGCACTACGAGCGATTAGCACAAACGAGCGGTCGCCGCGATGACAAAAGGGTGACACGGGGTACTGTGCAACGGGCGCGTGCATCTGAGCGCGAATGCGAACACACAACAAAATAAAGAAGTCGTGGTAAACAATTTATTCACAATAAAAAAAAAATATCAGTCGCATTGAGTTGACTGTGAATGTCTCCTAAGGTCGTCAGTTGCCTGATTTTGACGTCACGTTCGGGATGTCAAAATAGCGGAGGATGCGGGAAACAGCGCTAACGTGCAGGACCAGAATCCCGTGGCGTCACCTGCATTGAACTCCAGAGTGACGACAGCCTGACGTACCCAAGTGCTTTTCGTGAGTTTCGTGTGTATGGAGCGAAACGTTCGCATAGATAAATTTGACCAAGTTATGCTCGCCTCAAGAGTGTTTTGAAAGCTCGTGACGTTCGAAAAAAGGTACTCTTTTCGCTACCTCCCCATTCCGTGGGAAGCGATTTTGTGGAAGATAACGTGTAACGTGATAATCGGTCAAACATTTGAAGGCGTCCATTGCCTTCAAGTAGTGGTATTAGCAGTGAAGGTCGCCGGAGGGTCCACTACTACAGATGAGCCCGGTGTCGCTGAATTCGTAATCGATGCCGACCTGTGAGGTAAGAATAATAGCGAAGTAGGGTTAGTGATAAAGCATTATTTGTGAGAGGTATCAGATATTTAGACTGTCAATTTATATAATTTTTGCGCTGTAGCTTGCTCTTAACACGTAATGTAAAACCCTAAATGTTCGCAGGTACCTAATGTTCCAAAATTTCGCGAGTCGGAAAATTAATGAACTTTAAGGGCGGGCGAATTTTTTTATTTATTTATTTTTTTTTATAAAGAGGCAACGAGAGCCTTTAACATTCGCAAAATTTGATGGTCTAGAATGCCACTCGTCTGTTCAACTCGCAAGAAATTGAGACCGCGAAGGAAATGTTTTTAAGTCTATTACTACCGTATTTTCTCAACTCTCCATTATATTTTGATAATTACTCAATCTTTTTATATAACTATGTGTCGCAATTTAATGTCCTATAATACGCTTTATCTTCGCATTTGTTTTTAGTTGCGTACGGTAATACACGTCTAGCTAAACTCACCTGACACGTTGCATGGCTTAGATCAGCCTCACCGATTGTTATCATCATGTACCACCAACCGAATGAATGCTTTAGAATCAAATACCTCTGTAGCCACCTTGATACAACTCCAAATGGAGCTGGTAGTAATATAAATAAATAAATAAATAAATAAATAAATTAATTAATTATTATTTAAATAAATTAGTTAATTTTAAATTAGCCAAAATTAGCGCTTATCTTCTTTACCCTCGCAGAAATCTAACGGACTGCGGAGCGGCAATCAGATGCTCAGGCATCAGCACGCCCCGCGTTTAATAAAGCTGTGGGCCACTTTTACGGCGAGCAAGGTCGTCCGCTTCTCGAGCACCTCGTGCGTTTGTTTAGGAGCCGAATCCGGCCGCGTGTTTTTGTTAAACCCCCGACCTCGACGAAACGACGACGCGCGCTTGGTTACCTCGTCACCCCGCGCGTTCTCTACTTTGTCCTTCGGCTGGCGTCCCCCCTAACGCCGTTCCGATGCGCCGCAAAACGTATTTTCGTAACACTTGCTCGCCATATAGTAATCAACAGTTAGTCATCATCATCACCAGCGACGTCAGTCTTTTGCTAAAATGGTTCTTCTCACCTCTGACGTCCACAGTGGTTCGTTTTCTCCGAGAACAGGGGGCAGAAACAGAGGCTCTGATTCGGGGCGAGGTTTTCGCCGTCTTCGAGTGTCTGTGGTAGAGGCTGGTTGATGGAGTCCGGCAGCAGGAAGAGAAGGACGGCTGCCACGAGGGAGAGCGCTCCGTTCACGAGGGCCGGGAGGAACTTGTCGTATTCCACCTGGGAAACGTCGAGAATGGCGATCACATTTATCCGAGGTGACTAGATCGAGTTTGACAGAACATTTGATTGAATAGCGGTCTATCGATAGGACTCCATCATGAAGGATCGGCGAGCCGCTCAAAAATTGCCAACATGTAAAACTGCGGAGGCCTTATTCTCGTAAATTCGTAACGAGTGTGTAAAAAAATTAAAGACGCTTACGATTCCTTGTAATGCCGAATTAGCGCGCAGCTCTTGAGGACGAAGAGGGGAGGGTACGGAGAGGAGGGTATTCCCCTCCTCCTCCTTTGTAGCCTCTCCTCCTCCCCCTCCTCCTCCTATCCTCTTCCCCTCTTTCCCCCTCCCTCCCTCCCCCTCGTGACGTCATTCGTTAAGGCCTCGTGAGGGTCGTAACCTTCACTATAAACATCACGACCTTCGTCGTGTCCTTCACGAGTGACTTTCGTGACGTCGCTCGTGACCCTTGTGACGTCACGCGTGACATCACGTGTGACGTCATTGTGAGAAACGTTTCATAATGCAACGCGCGGTTACGCCGACGGCGACGGCGACGCCGCTCATGCCGGAAACGGGCGCCTAAGAGCTGCGCTCTAGAAAATCAGTTATCGCGAGCAAAAAAAAAATAAGATAAAGAAGCAACAGATAGAACGCAGTCGAAAGCATCCGTCCTCGTTGGTGTTTGTTCCGTTGCTTGTTTAGTTTTCTTTTATGGTGGCATTATTGGCGTGTCCAGAATGTTTTTGCGCATTTTAATGGCCGCAAAACCAAAACGGCAATCATGTTTTGTTAATTAATGTTTTAATAGTTTTTGTATCGGTTTATAGGATTTACTACTGGCTATTTATACCGTCTGCAACTGTTATGGACTCTAATATTCTTCCATACCCCGTTGATGATTTAATGAAAAACTACAGATTCCGTTTGGGGCTCTTTTATTTTATCGCATAGGTTCATTGATGTTATTGCAGATAGGTGACGAAGGGCGGATTTACGACGCCCAGTCAATATAACGACGCATTCCTCGCCGTATATCAATCATCGAGATGTCCCCTGTAATTGAGGATTTATAAAGCGATTTTTCTACACCAACGCGCCACTTTGACGTCACGCCACTAAGGGGGCGCTGCTATCTGCGTCGAGCGTTCGGAGATGCGTCAGTCGACGCTAATCTGGTTTCTGTGCATGAGCAATGAGCGGACCTGCCTTGAGCAAGCGCGGACTTGTTCGTCAACAGCGTTTTTGTTTATTCACCAACAGGTTGCCGGTTATCGTATTTGGCGGGCGCTCACCAGGGACGCCACCTGGGCTCCCAGGAGGCCTCCGAAATCGGCCACCAGTCTCTGGAGCAGCACCGCCCTTCCCCGGATGACGGTGGGGAAGATCTCCGACGTCAGTTGGTAGGTGATGTTGTAGCCTCCGGCGAACGACATGGAGCACAGGGCCGACATAATCATGGTTCCCAGCACCGAATCTTGGGGTGGGACGGAGAAACATTGTAGCGCATTAAGGCATTATCTGGAATTGCTCTTGAATGTTTGCAGGTTAAATATTTTTTTTTTATAATGGCCGCTACTATTTTGGTCATTCGTTAGGATATACTACTAGCTAGGCCACACATTTCTGGAGCTAGCAATGGCAATAATCATCGACAGCTTAAGGGAGTCGGGCACTGCGAGTGCCCCAGCAGTTTTAATATCTCTAGGTATCATTAATGATCGCAGGATCAACAAATGATAATTTGGGATGAACGTCGGCATTATTGTTTGTAGCACGTACTTTTATCTTCGTTAGTTCTGCTAGTCATGTTGCTATGCGAGCCGTTATTAGGTGAGCTATGCCTGAAACTCACTGTCATATCCCCAAGCCAAATTTGAGAGCCAAGACCGTATTTACCTTAAATGCAAATCCAGTATTCTAAGGAAGCCATATTTGCCAATGACTGTACGACGACTGTGGAGATATTCATAGCAAAAAACTAACACATTATATGCCACAACTCCACATATGTTTGAAAAAACATCGCTAATAAAAAATGAAAAAAAAAAAAAAAAAAAAAACAGCCCCACAAAATTCGGAGTTTGTTTAGGGCCCTTACACTTTCAGAACTTTGTAACACCTAACCTTTCGTTTTTAGATCGCAGTAACTGGCGCCTCGCATGATGTGCGACGAAGTGCTCGCTCATGTGTGCAGGGGTGTAAAGACAACTTTGCTGTAAATTCACCCTGATTTCTCTTGGTTTGGACAGCGTTTTGTGAAGGCTCAGTATAGGCCAAAGTCACTGACAGCTAAAAAAACGAAGGGTCTGGCTGATTATGCTTATGTTTTTACCCCTTTATTTGTTCTTTGATATTATTTACAGTCTAATGAAGCAATCTCATTGACTACGAAGCGGTAATAAGATGCCCGCGGGCTGTCCACACCCTGTGCATCTTAGGCTGCCAGTGCCTACTTAGACATCCACTTTCTATATAAACAAACAAAAAAAAACAGGAATTGGCCATGCGCGTGCTTTACAATGAAGGACTCACCCTTTTAAAGGAAACTTGGCGAAAAAAATCGCGTCCTATTTCCTTTGGGTTTGACAGCCTCCAGAGAAGACTCAGTATATGTATACATATATGTTGGCTCTACACCCATGCGACAGCGGTTTTCTTGCATTACCGGTCCGCAAAAATCCCACGACGAAGGAGATGATCGCTCCCATGAGCATGAAGAGTGAGTTGGGCCATCGGCGGCCGATGGTGTCCAGGGCCATGATGCAGATGAAGTTCACGGGGAGCTCGAAGGACATGGCCAGGGAGTAGGAAGCGTACAGGTTCACGCTTAACCGCCCTATGTTCAGGGCGTTGGCGTTGTAGCAAAGGCTGATGATGAAGCTGTAAAGGACAGATGGCGGTGTTGCAGAAGTCAGGGTGGTGTGCCAGGGTAGCAAGTCGCGTGCCGATGCTTCGGCTAAGGTGGTAAAGCATTATGTTGAAACTCGTTTTAAGGGTCCAACTGCTTACGGTACCGAAGAAAATCTTAACTCGTAATTTGAAACGGTAGCGCCAATACCAGGAGAAATAATGTTCCAGCGATTTTTGTCAATTTTTGTACGCGAAAGATACAAATGTTTTGGTTTACATATATACAGGGTGTTCAGAGAACGCAGGCAAAATCGCTCCTGCGAAAACTACTCATCGCAACAAAAAAACGCTTGTGGCGTTTTGGTCCTGGGTCAGAGGCCTATTTAGGAAAATTATTACAGTCCAGGATAATTAAGTTGTTAATTATTTTTGCGTAATTAACTTTTTTTAATATTGTGTTTAAGCTATTGGTTTAAAATAGGAAATTGCTCAGCATCATCGAAAAACACTAAATCAACGAATTGCAGAAGGATAGAAGGCACGCGAAGCATTTTTGGGCTTTCTGAAAAACCGCACAAAATCGACAGATTTTTAAGTTTCGGTTTGCTATCGGAGCGCATCTCAGCCCCGGCGGTACCGAGCCCCGTGGAGAGATAGTAGGGAGTTTTCGTAGATCGTTTTCGCCGTCCCGCAAGGCCCTCCGCTACCCGCTACAATAGCGGGAACTCCACAGTCAAGGCTATCGGCGCGCAGGCGCAGTAGCAACTTCTTCGTTGCGGAACGCTTAGCGGAGGAGGCAGCGCGGTCTACGAAAACTCCCTAGTGCAACCAACCTCTGCTGCGCTGTCATCGCGCGACGCAGCAAAGGCTGGTTGCACGCAGCAGAGGCTGGTTACAGAACGCCGTAAAATCCTGCCCCGGCGTTATATCCTTCTAAAAAAAAAAATGAAAGCCGTTTACAAATCCGTGTAACACCGAATTGGAGCGCAGCTCTTGAGGAGGAGTAGGGAAGGGTACTGAGGGGGTCACGTCACCTGCGGGTAGTCACGTGACCTCGGGGGGGGGGGGGGGGGGAAGAGTCACGTGATATTGGGGGGGGGGGGGGTTCACGTGATCTCGAGGGGGTCACCTGACCTCGGGGGCGGTCACGTGATCTCGGGGGGGGGGGGGGGGTCACGTGACCTCGGGGGGGTCACGGGACCCCCCCGAGGTCCCGTGACCAGAGGTTTTCTAAGATGGCTTATTCAAGATATGCGCGATTCAAGAATTGCAAAGAAGATGCTTAACTTAATGTATCCTTTGTACGCCCGTGCCTAAAACACAATAAAATAATGCACACCTTCAAAAAGGGACACTGAACTCACCCCTCCCCCCTAAAAAAAGACAAGTTTTTTTTTTTTTTTAAATGGGTGTGCAGAACTCGTATGTCACGAAATAAACATTCCCCAGAAAGCACAAACAGAAAAATAGCCGGATATTTACGTCGCAAGATTTATTAAGGCATTCAAAAACATGATTTTATTGTGAGGTCGATGTCTCGAGATAGAGGCATCGTAATTGTTCCTAACTAAAAATGAGTGTTATTTCCGACGTAAACATTGCTTTAGAAATGTTTTTCTAAGAAAGTTTATGGGTATCCTATCCGAACTCGTAAAACAATGACTTTTGGGAGTTCTGTGTTCATGCAAGTGTAAGGATTGCGGTAACCATGGGGTTCCCTATATCCCTATCTAAATCTAGCTTCAAGCAGGCGTGGGAGTCGTCGTCAGCAATGGCGGCGGCTAACCGGATACGAGGAACCGAGGCTGTATTCCCCGAAGGGGACGGCTCTCCCTCGCCCACGTAGGGGGAATGTAGCGCCTGCGCACCCTTGAGGAGGGTGACAGTGGACGCCACTATACCAGAGGCCTCCCCGGGCGCGTCCATATCTCTGAGGCTACAAAAGCCGGCCCCGAAGGAGGGCCGTGGGGCTCTCGCCGCCGGAGGCCCTGGCCCCCGACTGCCCGACAATCTGTCTGTTGCCGTAGCGCGGGAAGCCGACCGGGTGATACTGGCAAATCGAGCCAGCGCTTGGACTTTTTATATTCAAGAGCAAAGCGCGTTGGGATTTGAGTCAATAAGCACGTCGGAAACGGACTCAATGGGCTTGTGTTGTCTGTCGTCCACCGGTGCCCCAAAAGGCAGTCAATAGACGGACCCGCCAGTAGCCGCACAAAGAGTGGAGTATGGAGTGGGCATTTATTTCAATGAGGACTTTGGGGTAAAGTTAGCCAACTCACAGGTGAAGGTAATTATAAAGAGACAAACAAAACATCGTCACGTACCAGCTGATGTAGATGAGAAAGACTCTTTTTCGCATGCGAGGAAACTTGAGTACGGCTCGACTGCTTTCCCAGAAAGTTGGGATGACCTTCACAGCAGATGAACCGGCTTCACTAGCAGGACCCTGTCGTGAAAATAAAAAGAAGGGTAGTCAGTTTGCCACTAGATGACAAGCGGCAGTTTTTACGTCGTGAGTGCACTAGAGTAACACATAAGGTAAGCTTTCGATTCGTAACACCTTGATTCGTTAGAGCAGTGAAAGTGCGGGAGGGATAGTGTCTGAAAATTGTAGCTGACCTTTCATTACTCTTATTGCCTGGTCTGAACAGCGACGTCATTTTTTGCAGAATATTTAGAGTGCCTGCACTCGTAAAATACCTGCTGCAATACGAAACTTCGAAAATCTCCTGGAGCGTGACTGAAACGTATCCCGGTAACGTAGACTGACCGGCTCACTTGATTGTGGCCGTTGTACCGTCAAACAAGGTCAGGATTCATCCTCGCTTACTGTAGATTGTAGTTGTTAGGGTTGCTTTGAAATCAGAGTAACATTTCGCTGTATAAAGTGCGTTTCCATCGGTGTACTGAGGAGAATCATCGCTAATAGCTTTAAAATAGCATATGGCATATACGTAAAATCCACAATAAACGCCTACCAACCCAAAGATTGCCCAATCGCTATTTGTCACCATGTATCTCTCCACCATGAGTAGGTGTTCATTCGAGATTTTAAGTGTATGCTCCTCTAGGCAAGACATTGAAACAATAAGGAGGGCTTTCTCGATGCTTTATAAATGTGTTGAGAACGTACGGTTCTGCGCTATCTTAATATTTCGAGAGAAACTATCACTTTGATATCAACGTTTATTATGTACTGTTTTATCGGTTGAAGACATCTGGACCAGTGGAATCAACGTGTATTTCTTGATTGAACCACTTATTGACAATTCAAAGTTGTGCAGCTTCATCTGAGTAGATGGACTATTTTTCAAACCTCTTTTCTGGGGTGCCATTCACTGCGATCAGTTGAAATATATCAGAAAATAAACAAAGAGTATAGTGTTCAGCACGTGTTATAGAACATTTTGCTACTTTTCCGTAGCTCAGTCGAACGGACTTTGAAATAGTTGTTCTTCGATATTCAGAAGAGCCTTGATGGGTTTTCTTAGGAATATTTGACACACACTTATACAGGTTGAAATGGTTCATTACCTCGAGTTGTTTACTGAGGTCGTCCGGTGAAACAACCTTGCCATTGAAGCGAGCAATCTTTTCGAAGTGAGCGAGCGCTTCCTTCTTGCGCCCGACGGATAGCAGCCACCCTGAAGATTCCGGCACCCAACTGTAAAAAAAAAGAAAAAAAAAAGAAAAGAAAAGAGATTGCAATGTTTAGGGGGCAAAAATTCCTAATTTAATTATCAAAATAGTCACTGACACTGTAAGAAACTTGGTAAATGGCTTATTGTTTTCCCACTCCTCGCTTGACGATTCCTTCTGCGGCGTCCTTATCGAGCCCAATATAATTAAAGGGAATGTCCGGTCAAATTTTGTATTCGAGAAAACTATTGAATATCATTGTTAATGCCTCGAGACGCGTCGTAAGTGCAAAATCTGAATTTTTTTGCTCTCTGCGTGAGTAATTGACTTTATACTGCTCCAATCGCATTCCAGCGTAAATGCTGCTTCCGTTGGCAACATTGAAGCTCTGACGTCACAAAACACAAAGCGAGCAATTCTGCCTCATCACTCGCCTGCGAGTGAACGCCTCAGCGTGCTTCGTTTTTGTTGTTGTGCTCGACTTGTTTCGTGGTTGGGTGAGATTTTTGTTGCGCGGTTATGGGTGCCACAACCACCGGGCAGCACATGCGTGCCAAGGCATGACGTTCCACACTTTTCCGCGAGACGTGCAGTGACGAGCAAAAGGGATCGTCGCCGTGCGTAGGGACTGGGTTCCCGTCCCGCTTATGCAGCAATCATTTCACAGAAGAGATCTACGAGCTGAGCTCTAAGCGGACAGAAGGCTCGTAAGCTGAGGTGTGATGCTGTGCCAACGATATTAAACTACGTCCATTCACTCCTCGCCAAAATCGAATCAGTCAATTTGATTATGCAGCGAAACCGAAACCAACAGCTAGATTACTTTGAAACGATACCAAAAGGTTATTTAGCACGCGTGCAGCCAAGTTCTGTTTGACCCGCATGTGAAAATAGAGTGTGGCTACGATTTACCAAGCTCGTCCAAGTCAAGTGACGACATGCATTTGAACGATTCGCCGTTTGCCTTCGAACCGCGGAGATCGCCTCCCAGGGAACGACCCTCAGCCTCATCACCGATTCAGTGGATCCGCCGAAATGTGTACCCAGATGCCGCTTCGTGTACCTATAGTTCGTTTTACCTTATGTGCGAGCGAAGCTGACGCTACAAGCGCGAGCATGCAGCTTGTGACAGCGCCAGTAGTGCACGAGCGCACGTGCGAAGCAGGAACGCTCAGAGCGTTCGGCTCGCGCCTCTAGCTTTGACTTCGCTCGCACATATCGTGAAACAAAGTATAGTTGCCGCTTCAGAGGCGATATCTGCATCCTTTGCTTTGCACGCGCTTGTAGTGCTCCTGGTTCGATCGGTGGCCGTCGCCGTTGTGTTTGCGTGAAACGGCATACGTTTACTCGAAGCTTATGGCTGTTTTCGAATAATATCCTGCTAAAGGGCGTGACTTTTTTTGCACACGCTTGGGAACTGCAATAAAAGAACCGTATTTCAGTAGGGTACAGCCTCGGAGACTATATAATTCGAAACAACATACTAAGACATTCGTCGACCAACGAGTGTTATCCCGACCATCCGACAAACTTTTGTGTTTTGTGACGTCACGCAGCAGCTGCGGATGTCAGCCATTGACACTGGCGAAATTCGGGGTGCAGTTTCGTACATGCGCTCATTAAAGATTTAATTAATAACGGGATATCATATATCAAAATAAAAATGACGTTTGTCTACATAAAGGCTCCCTCCACGTAACGAGCGCAAGAACTTAAGTACTTTCGGTTTCGAACGGACAATCCCTTTAAGTGCGGAGAGATAGCGAGATGCTCGTAACTTGTCACGCCTCGCCTTTCTCAGGTTGTTAGTTTTTATAGTATCGAATAATCTGGTATGATGGCATGGGTTGTCTCTTCTGTAATGCTGGCTGCCCCTTCGCACATAGAAGTACCGAAGCTCCCGAGAAAAGAGCACAGTGTTTCTCGGCCCGGGAACATAAACTATACATTGCAGAAAGATCAAACTCCGTGAAAATGAGACGCTAGCGGCTGGGATAGAAGGCTGAAGTTTAAGAGCATGAAGTTGCCTGGATCATAAGATAACTGACAGAGCCGTGTATAGAGAGGGTGTGGTCAATGGGAGGAGCCGGCAGAGCCAGGGCGTGCACCAGACTCGGAAACAGGGCTTGGCATGCTCTCTAGCCAACCAGAAGCCGAAAGGAATCCCCTAGCGGTCGTAGCGAGAAACAGTTTCAATAGAGCGTAAGGGTTAAATGTAGTAACCCTTCATGGTTGAAAATATGGTGCACGCGTCGTTTCGATTAAGATCGTACAAAAAGATGTAAGAAACGAATGTGCTGCTCGAACTCTCATTTGCTCGGACAGAGTGTGACCACTCGAACGGCAGATTCCCGACACTCGGCGCCTAACCTATGGATTATGTCGATCGTTCCGCTAGTCGCGCTCGTCCACCATGATTTTGGATGACAGCGATTGAAACGTGCACGATATTTTGAGTCACCGAGAGTGACTCCGACGCACTTATTAATTTCATTTCTCGCGACTACCGCCAGGGCATTATTCGAGGCTTTTGGCTGGCCACGTTCGAATCTGTCAAGACGTCCTGGAACACGCCCAGCCCGCTCTCGGCCAATGGCGCCTCCTCATTTGCCTCCTATTCGCGTCTCCAGCTCGTTGCTCGCCCTCCCGCGACGGAAACGGGAAGCGGTCTAGTGAGGGTCCCCCGATTCTCCCGCTCAGCGGGCACGGCGGAACTGCTGGCGATCATGGCTCGCTAAATGTCATTTCCGAATGCGAACAGCAACCTTCACTGTCCCAATGTAATGCTGCAGCCGGTGTGGGATTGTACCTTACTAGAAAGTTTTTGTATGGCGTAATGAAGCAAACCCATGCGCTGTGCATTTGCGTTAGGGTGGCGTGCTGCAAGTTGCGCGTGCGCGTCATTGGCATGCTCCCATCTGAGACCGCAATTTCGGGCTCCGCGCACGCGCAGCGTGGAACAGGCAAAGCTAACGCAAATGCACAGCGCTTGCGTTCGTTGGTATATGCAGTACTAAAACTCACGGCTGTTTCATCGGCTTCCGACGCCAACAAAACGTGCTGCAGTGAGCACACGCGCAAGCAGGTTGCTTCTTCGATTTGGAAAGGCTGAGATTGGCAAAACAACGGTGCGTAAATACGAAAGTGAATAAATGTTAAAAAATTAGTAATTAAGAAAAATAATGTCCGTTTTTGTTTTTCGGGGGGGGGGGGGGGGGGGGGGGGGATTTGGTCTGGAAGGATATTGACGGCGACTTTAGAAGTTTTGCGGATTGCCAAAAGTCGCTACTTTGACAGTATCCTCAATGAATCTCATTTTACATGAATTTCTGACATTAGCTAGAATATTTTAATTTAATTTAGGCCATATTTATTCTATAACTTGGTAATTGAAAATGCTGCAATTGGCACTAGTGATGACAGTTAGCACACTTCAGATTGTAATACTTGTTCGTGCGTTTCAAATGAGATCATAGGCAAATATTATTTTAGAGCTTGAAAAATTGCGGATGAAAATATCTTAATTTTAATATTCATAATAAAATTAATACAAATCGTGGCAATGTATGCCCCCAATTAACGCCACGATCACAAAAATACACCATTTAACCATAATAGTATTTCCAGAAAGGTGTCATTTTGTTTTCTTTTTTAGCACATGAAAACCTCTGACATTGTTGAGGATAGACAAACAGTCAAACACTGGATGCAATATAAACTCCTATTCGTCACGCATTGCTTTAAAAAAAAACACGCACACTTCAGCTGCCTGACTCGGATTCCATCTATACATTTTTCTAGTGAGAACAGCGTTTCTTAATTCATACATTTTGTGAACATATTGTAAAATTGGGTTTATTATGTTATTCTTGTGCTGGGTAAAATGTTAAAGCAATTAATTATTGGAGTACCCAAAAACCCATTGAAATGACCGCACTTCATTATTTCACATAGCAATTATCTGAGCGAGAAAAGGCAGCGAGAACGCGCAAATACCAGCACAGATATTTTCAACAAATAATAATATTCTATGTGACCTCTAAGGTGCATGAAAAACCCTGTCTTTCGAGGGACAAAAGTTTCCGCGAACAACTTCTTTAACTAAATAATTACGGTGTGAGACACATTTCGAGTTATGAAAGAATCTGAAATTAAGACCTATATCGAGAAATAAAATCCACAATAGAGGATAGTTTCGGTTTCGCTTTAGAATTAAAACGTGCCTTCTGGCGTAAATATTGCACTAAATACCTTCGTTGTTTTTAGTATAAGAGGTGACCTGCGCTCCTAACACCCTAGCTTCCTCGTATAAGCAGAAATAATTTGTGTCGCTCAGTGAAGCCAGCAAAGCAGACAGGCTCAGCTGCGGCATGCATCTCCGACCCTCACTAAACCCGCCATTTTGGAAATCGAGTGGTGCCACCTATAGTGTATTGGAGTCGCGAATACTTCCCAGTGAATGGCCTAACTTTCTTTATATACGTCTCTGATAACTGAGAAAGACGAAAATTTTCTATGAGCAGACGTCCACCTAAGCAAGAAATGTCATTGTAAACGCCTGTAGCATCTATTTGAAGAAAAAAAAAAGAATCTTGTCACTAAGAAAGAAAACAATATTATCGTTCTTGCTGACAAGGTTTCTTCACTGGTATAAACCCCACGAGCGCCCAAATATCAGTTCTTTTTCTGACGATATGACGCTTAAAAAAACGTAAGCTCATTGAAAAAAAAAAAAAGCGTTTTTCATAGTTACTTTTTTTTTTTTTCAGGTAACGTCATGTTCTCAAACTTTCGCGTTTTGTCTGAATTGCTAGCGTCCCATTCTCACGGATTTCGAGCTTTCTGCGATGTATATAGTCTATTTACCCGGGCTGAAAAACGGGCTTCTTTTGGTCGCAACAAAACGCACGGGGTTGATCAGACGGTGCCATGCCAAAGCAAGGAACTATAACTAGTGATAGCTTAGGAAAGGCAGGACCTGGGGAGCCCCCAGCACGTTGTTGCTACCCCGCAGCCATTCAGAATCCGGGTTATCCGATAAGGAAGTCCGAAGAACGAATCATAAACCGAGAAGCTCGAATGCCTTAAGCCACCCAGTGTTTCCTAACCTGTCAGCGGTTCTAGGATTTAGATGCAACACGATCATGATATCCCACTCTAAGGAATCTAGAGTCCAATTTCCCGCGAAACGCTCGGGGCTTTGCCCGGAGGCGCGATTGCGCACCTCGCGGCCTTGAAAACGTGTATGAGGACGGTTCCTCGAGCTCCTGTCATGCTGCGCCATCTCGCGGCATTTGGTTAAAATGAGAGCGGTTCATCGACACACTTGTGCCGTGGCAAGGTGGCATCGTTCAGGCACTTCTCTCTTCTTCCACCATGGCGCAGTGATACGGGGTATGACCAAAGCACGTGTAGCGTCGTGCTCCGTGTTACAACGCAGGCTGTTTTATAGGTATAAACATATTTTTAACCACGTCATTCGCCAAGCACGCTTCGTAGACTGCGGCGATTGGTTCTCCCGAGTGCTTTGCGTGAAAGTAGACGCACCGAATTTAAAAAAGTGTAGAATAAAGCGAGAGAAAAAAAAGTGAGAGCCGTTTACTGCTTCCTGTAACGCCGAATTAGAGTGCAGCTCTTGAGGAGGAGGAGGGAAGGGTACTGAGGGGAGGCTTACACCTCCTCCTCCTTCTCCTCCTCCTCCCCTCATTCTTCACTCTCCTCTGGGGGTGTCACGTGAGCCCGGGGGAGGCGGGTCACGTGACCTGGGGGGTCACGTGACCCCCCCCCCCCCCCTCCCTGAGGTCACCGAAGGTACCCGAGGTCGTCCCGAAGGAACCCGAGGTCCCCCTGAGGTCCTCCCGAAGGAACCCGAGATTTTCCCGGGGTCCTCCCGAAGGAGCCCGAGGTCCTCGCGAGATCCTCCCGAAGGAACCCGAGGTCCTCCCGAGGTCCTCCCGAAGGAACCCGAGGTCCTCCCGAGGTCCTCCCGAGGTCCTCCCGAAGGAACCTGAGGTCCTTCCGAGGTCCTACCGAGCGATCCCGAAGTCCTCCCGAGGTCCTCCCGAAGGAACCCGAGTTTCTCCCGAGATCCTCCCGAAGGAACCCGAGGTCCTTCGGGAAGACCTCGGGTTCCTTCGGGAAATTTTACCCATAATGCAAAGCGCGGTTACGCCGACGGCGACGGCGACGGCGACGCCGCTCAAGCCGGAAACGGGCGCCTAAGGGCTCATTCACACTGGAAGCGGATCCGCGTTCGCAAAGCGGTTGCGAACGCGGTTGTATAAGGATTCAGTACAATTGCACGCGCACACGATGACATCAAATGCGCGTGAAATTGCACTGGATCTTTATACAACCACTTTCGCAACCGCTTCGCGAACGCGGATCCGCTTCCAGTGTGAATGGGGGGTAAGAGCTGCGCTCTAAAAGAAGCGTACCACATGACGAGAAGCATCAGGACGTCGATGCCCGTGGTGGTAAACATGATGCCCCTCCAGCTCTGCAGCCAGGCGGTGTACCAGGGCAGCGCCGTGGCCAGCACGCTCCAGTTGATGGCCCAGAGAAAGGAGATGAGCGTTCTCCTCTCGCACACCGTGTACTCCATCACTGACGACAAACAAAAAACCCATAAAGCGGCAAGCTCTCGTGAACCTTCAAAATGTTGGTGAAATTTGACGAAGTTTGAAATTAGAACAGTGTTGCCTAACTTCTTAAAAAAAAAAGACTTTCACACTCTTGAAAAAAATTTATACAGGAGCCATTTTTTTATTTATTGCCTTATCAAGTCAAACATAAAAATATTACTGATTTATTAGATTAATGATGTAATGCGATACATTTGGTAAATTGTGCACCTCTCTTTCAATTGGCTCGCACGCCCATAAAAGTTGAACTTGAGTCGATCTTTTGTTGAACTCTACGTGAAAGGTTTGAAATATTTGAACATGATTCACCACGAACTTCGGCAGGTTTGGAACACCAAAAATAAGCGATTCCTGGAAAGTTTTAACTAACGAAAGAAGGAAAGTTTCTATTTCGGTTGGTTGCTGAAAGATCCGAAAAGTTTGAAACACTGAGCCATCAAAACTAGTGTAGACCCTATTGTTTGTGAAATAGTTATCCTTTTGGCGCACGAGCTAAATAAGAGACAAAAGAACAGGCCTCGCCTCAGTATGACTAATATATCGCTGTGCTCGGAGTGTTGTAGGCGGTTAATACAGTTGAATTAGGTGAATAGAGATTAAACCAATTTCTATATTAGAAGCTACTTTAAGCAAGTTCGTTCAAATCACATAAAAAAGCCAAATATACGCAAGGGCATGAAAGTGGACGATACAGGGCGCCCTGCACCATCCACTTCCTTTTTCTTGTGTATTTTTGGCGCTTTTTTAGGTAGGTATTTTATACGCGAATTTTTCGCAGGCAATCGACAGTTTAATGTAGAAGGTTGGAATCATGTACGAATGTGCTGTGCGATTGACCCAGTATTGCAACGCCCAGCATATGATCAAAAACCGAAAAGGGCAGTGAAGACAGGCGTGGTTGTTTTTGGGCAGATAAAATAGATACTATTATTATTATTATTATTATTATTATTATTATTATTATGAACTACACGCGTAAATAAACATTATTATTATTATTTTTCCCCCATAGCGATGAAAATGCTACAGAAATGCTCCATCGAATTAATGGACTGGTTTGGCAAAAATCTAATCGACATAAACGTCTCAAAAACAAAATTAGTTTGGTTTCACAATCCACTTAAGACTATCGTTTTAGACATTCCTCTTCTGCTTCACACATCACAATGCGCCGCCTGCCACTGTGCTCCCATTCCTTATTCGAACACCGTAAAATACTTGGGTATTCTTTTTGACTCAGACCTCTCGTGGAACTCACATTTCATAAAACTATGCTCAAAATTAAGGAGTGTTTCCTGCTTATTATACAACATCATGCCCTTCCTGCCATTTGGTATCCGAAAACTTATAGCTAACTCGTTAGCATATAGCATACTCCGCTATGGGCATAACAGTTTTTGGCAACTGCTCCGGGATATGGCACAAAAAAGTCAACAGCATCTTAAAAGGAATCCTGCGTCATGTACTTTACAAACCCACGACATCTTGTCCCGATCATTTTCAAGCCCTCTTCATGCCTAATTTTCAGTCTCTCTTGTTTGAAACGATTGTGCTCACCCATTACTGGAATGACGAATCCAACACACCCCGTCCAACATCCCGTCAACTACGACTAGACGCTCGGTTTTATGTTCCCACGTGTTATACACGTTATGGCAAACACATGCGATGTTACTATGTTCCTCAAACTTTTAACTCGTTACCATTTAACTTTGAAGACATGACTTCATAAAAGAAACTAAGGAAAGCTCTACGTCATTATACTTCCGTAAACGAAACCCCTTGAAAAACCTGTTTTCTTTTTTTTTTTGCGTTTTTTTTTTGTGTTTGAAAGACCAAACGTCCCAGCTTTTCTTTTGCAACATTTTTTTTAACATTTCTTTAAATTTTTATTTATGGTGCACATTGTATTTTTTTTACTCTTTACTTTTTTCTAACTTTGTAAAGTTATTGTGATTTAGAAGGACCGAAGACTGATAGATATGCATATACCAGAGCTCATTGATCATACTGATTGCTGCTCTAGAGTACATACTGTTTGTATGTAAAACATTTGACGTACTGTGTTGCAGTACCAACCTCTGAAATTTCACGAATTTTCTCAAGACTGAGAAAGCTGACTTTTTTTTTTTCATTTGTATACTTACTGTTACTGCGACGCTCAAGCTTTTTATGTTCTTTTCTTCACTTAGTACCGATGCCATGCTCCAGCTTTGTTTTTTTTTCTAATACTTTTCTTGATGCTACTGTGATGCTTAACATTTTTGTTCTTAATACTTCACTCCATGTCACTTCAACTTAGGTTCTGTCCCACAAGCCCTCGATGGCTTTGACGAACCTGCATGAATTTCGACTAGCATCAAAGAGGACCAATAAACTTTATTATTATTAAAAAATTGTTATTATTATTATTATTAAAACAACGCGTCGTGAATTAGCTGGGCACTTGTCATATTTCTGTGTGACGTCACATGACGTCACGTGACTTTGACCTCATATGACGCCTTGGCGTCACGTGACGTCAGTTTTCCATAACATCATGATGTCACCCGACGACAAAGTGTCACGCGATATTATGTGACGTCACGACGTCACGTGATATCACAGTCCTTCGTGACGGTTCTTTATTGTGACCGCTCTTCATGAAGGTTTTTTCATAACATTCAGCTAATAAAACACAATTTGTGTTCAAAGGTACTCTTTCTCCTAGGCCTTAATATTTTTTGTTGATTTTACACCTGCACACGCGCCGCCTTATATGTTTCTGACCTCAAGAAGAGAATGGCGCTGACGTTTGAGTCACGCTTGCGTTGGCGGCCCGCTCTTCGAAAAAAAATGGCATCTTGCGTATGCGCAGCGCGTACAGCTGCTGTGGGCAAACTTGCTTGCTCACAAACGACGAGTGGGCATGCGTGGAGGTATTGCGGTATGGACATTCTGAAGTCCAGTAGACGGAAGGACAATTTGCCGAGTAAAGCTCAGAGTGTCCCATAACGAGGTCACCTGGCTCTCATGAAATATGGGTTACTGCGCTGGTGAGCTAGTAAACGATCATAGTAATTAATAATAATAATAAAACCTTGGGACTCGGAACGAAAATCGGGCAATGAAACACCGTCTCAACACTGAGACAATGACATGGTATTGTGTCGTCCAATTTTCGTTCCTAGTTTCAAGGTTTCTGTTTCTTTTTTTCATTTCATCATTATGGTTGCCATATGCCATTATATTAAATATTCCCAAAAATTTCACCCCCACCGCTAGCATCATAAGTAAATGTGCACCAATTTGAGCGTGAGTAGTGGCAGTGGGTCAGCGACAAGTGCACATTCGTCCACTAGCTCTCTCGGCATTAAATATGAAAAGTTGAAGTCTAGAAAGACACAGACTCTTTTCAAATAAAACAACATTAGCGGTTGTCATATCTGAGGTGCACGAAGCGTGTGATTGTATTTGAGTTCTCGCAGAACGCTGACACAGCATTCGTTTTTGATATCAGCTGAGCCGAGTTCACGCCTAGCACCGATGCAGCTCTCGTGCGTAATACCCGTTCAGACACCGTACCGAAACAGTGGTTGACCCGGATAGTTGATGCAGTGGCTACTAGATGGCGCACCCTTTTGCAAAGAGTCTATTATAGCGTTGCCTCATGCTGGCTACACGACTGGTTACCGATGACGTAGGCAGCCGTGCAGACCGCGTCCGATCCCACACCGGACAAGAACCGTAGCGCGGCGAAAGCGTAGAATCCAGAAAAGAAGGTGCCCAGGACGTTGCCGACGATGCCGATGACTATCAGCACGATGATGATCATTCTTCTTCCGATTCTGTGGGAGAAGGGACGCGAAGGGTGGCGGTAGTTCAAATCAAACACATTGCCCGATAATTTATTTAAAAAAAAACAAAAAAAACGGCGTATTAAACTTTTTGTTTATACGCAACTCTTCATGTGGCGACGCCACCCAGCGTTGAAGGCGCGAAGAAAACAAATGAAAAGCTAACACTTTGCAACCAAAACTGGCTCAGCCTGGCGGTGAGGGTGTTAAACAGAGGAACGGGGATGAAATGCACACTGTCGGATTCGCACATGCACATACCTGGGAAGCAACACGTTGTATGCTATTTCTGAACCATTACATTTTCACGTATTTTTCTAGCTTGCAGTCTCGGAGTAGTAATTAGTACAGTTCTTTAAAAAGTAATTCGTGTAGCGTATGTTTCTCACGTGGCATTCTTTAAAAAGACAATCGCAAGCTCAGGGATATGATTATGGAAAGTATTACGCTATTCGAACGAAAGTAAGCTTTCGCGTCAATTTTCAACTATCTCCGCGAAGCGGCGCTCACAAATAGACCAACCAAAGCAACCAAATACCGGAAGAGTTCGGTATTCTTTGGAAGATGCCGACAGGTCGAACAATCACGACGGGGATCTTGCTTCCAAAGAACGGTGTGTTCCCTCCACCATCTTGTTTTTTTTTGTTTTTTTGTTTGTTCTGTTTTTGGCATGGCTGGTTTATATGGAGTGCAAGTTCGTGTGCTCCTTGCACGCCTCGTGCGTTTGTTTACCCCCAACCGCGCCCACGTGCTTTTGTTTCTCTCCGACCTCAGTTAAGGGCGGCGTGCGCTTGGCTGCTTTGTCATCCCGCGTCCCCTGCGCCTTATCTGCGTTACCCTTTGATTAGAGTGCTCCTTCTTGCATTCCGATACGCCAAAGACGCATTTTGGAACACTTGCTCCCCGTATTCTAGCAGGCGAGAAGTTCCGCCCATATCGGCCAAAACCTTTCAGCATAAACTGCTTTATACCAATGTAGGGTGCCTCGGTAGTACTGCTGGCGAACGCTGTGGTATTCGAGGTATACATGGCATAGATTGGCACTTCCGTAATATTTTTTTTTGTCGTCTTCTACTGTACAACGTATCTGTAGAACAAAACTACTAAGAAATTGTGTACATCGATATATATATATTTGTATTTTGCGCTATGAAACATTGCCTCGTAACTTTTGCGGTTTCAACTCTGTGTATCTCAATCGACTTCTTGCTCGTCTTTCTTGGTCTTGTACCGAGACAACAAGAATTGCCACCGTGCTGAGATCATTCAGTGCCCTCTGGCCTGTTTCCTACAACGCAGTGGTGACGCAAGGTAATGCTAGAGACATTAACGCCGCAGTTCGCTTTTTTGACTCGATTTTTTTCTTCTGTCGTCTGCCATAGAATTGCGCGACTAAGAGCAAGGACAAGATAAGCCGGAACCCTAACCTATTTGTTTGAGGGTGCTATTGTGAGCTTTGTAGAGATAACATATAGTGACTGTTTCTGTTCGAACGACGAAACGCAACAATTTCGCAGTGATAACCCTCAATCAAAGTTCGCAATAATAATAATAATAAAAAGCTTATGTTACAGCGAAAAGGTAAGTTTGAACTTTTTTTCCTTTGCTAAAACTAGTCAGTTTTACCCGCAAAACCCTCAAAGAACCAATCTCTGCGATCTATGAAATCAGATCAGCGAATGATGAGGCGTAACACCCGTATAGACCTCAAAATTAAGCCTGTTCTCTGGCATTACGCAATGCAAGCATGACGCTTTGTCTTGCGTAATGCCTCAGCGCAAACTTCATTTTTAAGTCTAAACGGATGCTCTGCCTCATCATTCGCTGAGCTGATATCGTAGATATCAGAGATGGGCTCTTTGCGTGTTTTGTGGGCAAGTAGACGCACAGGCATTTCTTGGAGTGTAACCAGAACCGATATTTGTTTTATGTCCTATAAAATCTAATGAGTACTTGCCTTTTAGCCAAAGTTATTACAGTTCTATTCTTCCCTGCAGCTTTCAGTAGGAGAGCCGTAGCCAGGGGGTGCTTCAGCCCCTCCCGAAATATTCAGCCGACCCCATAATATAGACATGCATTTTGACCCCCCCCCCCCCCCCCCCCTTTTTGCTTCCCGTACCTGAAGTCATAAACATGCCCCGAAAAAAATTCCTGGCTACGCCACTGGCCAGTGGCCATCGGAAGTAGTGTGTTACACATGAGAATTTATTATCATATCGTTTATATTATTCTTAATAGTCGTGGGAAGGTTAGTGTGCGTATGCATTACAGAAGACATCAGCGAATAGCGAAAGAACGAGGCAATAACCATTGACCATGTTGTAAAAAGAACAAAGTGTGACGACCCCACCTATCCGCCAGAAATCCGGAGATAAGATAGCCAGTCATTGAGCCAATCCAGTAAGTGGTGTGAATGGCGTACATCTTCCAGTTTTCTCCGCATACCCATTCGTTCTGAAAGCAAATAACAATAAAAAGTGACAGTCGTTCAAAGGCGCTATAAAGCCGATGACTGTGAACGGTCAGGGTTATTTAATAACCTATCCCGCTAAGAGCGTTTGCATATACAAGACAATAACGGCACACACAAAAACGTTAAAAAGACTATCAACACCGGAGCAAAATATCTAAATCTCATCATCAGTACCACTTAATGGGAAAATAGCCACTAACGTCTAGTAGAGATCATACAAGATAGTAAACAATTAAACAAGATGTTCCTCCCAAAAAATTACGGTGTTCTTTATCGTTGCAAACATAAACTATGGACCGCCGAATGCTCAGTAGCCGCTCAAATGTAGTTCTAGCGATTGGGGCGAGATGTCAAAGTTTCAAAGCTCAATCCCACCTACGGAAATTTGGATATATAAGGTATATTCACGGACGGCCATTGCTGACCGCGTAGCTGCACCGAGCATGCTGTCGGCGAGCTTCCACAGTGCTTATGCAGCGCGCATTGCGCACCATCAAGACTGCCGGCCTTAGCTGCCTATAAGGGTAAGCTTGTTCTGAGCACGCTCAGTTAACACAGCACCACCTAGATAAGCAGAAGGCTTCCGCACTGCCATCACAGTTAGATCGATCGAGGCCTGAGACTGGGCACGTCAGTGTTCGGCCGGGGCTCGTGTTCAGTCAGCGCGTCGAAGGTCGGACTCAGGCCCAATAGCCGAGTTAGAGCGATCCGACTCTGATGACGTTCCATGAAGGAAGAGGAGGCGATGCGGAGGCTTTGATTATTCTAGGTGGTGTTGGTTAGCAGTGCACTCAAGTGCGGCGTCCAGTGAGTACCCCTTATACAAGTGACAAAACGACTACCTCCATGGTGACTGTTGTAAAGAATTCGTTGTTGTCGTATCTCCACCCAGTGGGGCACGTCATGATGTCACCGTTGGAAACGGAGGCATTCGTGTAGTCGCCGTTTTCGAGAGCTGTCATCATCTGGCACTTGCCCCTTTCCAGCGTCGTCATGTCTAAGGAAGTGGGGTCGGTGTCATTCAGGAAGCACCACTGACTCGGTGGGGTCACGTGCACGAGCAGGTGGCCGAAGAAACACATGGTGGCGTGCCAGGTGCTCAGCACCAGGGCCGAGTTCAGGATGAGCTTGTTGAAGAGGCCGTAGCCTCCCACCGTCTTCAGGACGTCCTCGAATTCCATGTTGACTCTGTCGAACTCTTAATATCCTGCAACAGTGAAAGCAAGCCAATAGAATTAGGACAGATATATTCGTATCCAGTGACCTCTATAAGGCGGCTCACTTAGCTTGGGCTCAACGACCCTTGCTGTAATGTTCACTAGGCGAAATTTTACAAGGATGGTATCGATCAGCCTAGATAACTGAGAGTAGAATTTTAATACACACTTTGCGACCGTAATACTTTTTTTTTTTATCAAGCAGGACTCTCGTTTTTGAAGCTGCCGATTTTTATAGATAAGAACGCTATAAGCCCGCTTCTCAACTTTTCCGCGGACCACGCGTAGCCTAACACGTGGGGTTTGTCAGGGCTGCGTGTAATAACCCCTAAAGTTCGGCCTCTGTTCTAGCAGACGGTAGATAAAACGTCACATTCAGTGTTCGGTATCGGTCGTAATTATGAATACATTTATTTTCTTCGCTCTCCAATGTGTATGACTGCATCCGTAGACAGCAGTGATTGCCTGCTCGCGTGCTATAACGAGTAATGCACGTACGGGCGTTGAAAAGCAAACTAACCTGGATAGTACGAATTACAACAGACTGACTCCCGATCGATGGAAATATAGGTGGAAACGGCTGTAGCCTTTTAATCAGATGATGACTTGCGCCACCTAGCCAGCGTACCAGCAGCGCCACATGCCGCCAGTGCCTCGAAGCTTGAGGGCCACTGGAAACGAGACTCGAATGCGTTGTGCATCTTTCTGCCTTGATTTCGTCTGTTGCATTCGTCTCAGCTAAATTAGCAGACGGTAAGCGAGCCGATCGGAGCGCTGGAGCGAGGCAGGTGACAACATTCCGTTTGTGCGCACACCTCCTTTGGAGATCTGCTACGTGCTTAGTTCCGCCACTCCAATTGGCGCGCGGTCTCTAAGACTAGCGAACATTCGTATCTAGGTCTGACTGTGATTGACTACGCTACGTCCTTAAAATAGCGCTGGTACTCTTTAAATCTGGGTATAACTAAAGTCACTAAATCCTGTTAAAGAAGTGCCATTGTCTTCCCTAGCTGCTAGCCGGACACAAACAGATACTAACATAAAGACGACCAAAATATCGCAAGACGATTGGCTAATCTGGTAAAAAAAATTATTTACAAAAGTGGTGCCATGACTAGAACAAAACCAAAAACCGAAAACCCGTTATGTCTACGTTGCCATGAAAATCGCCATCTCGATCCATTCAAATCTTCAAAGCTTTTAGAGGGTCGTTCTAAACCAGTCGCGCCAAGATCCCCACGGAGCATCATCGTAGTGGAAGCGTTCCTCGCCAATATAAGCATCTTCGGCACTGTTTATGCAATCAACTTATCAATCATGCCCATCTCCACGGATCTTTTACAATTATGTTGTTCTTGCGTATTTTTAAACAGTAAATTTATTTTTCAGTTCCTCCAAGCACCGACACAGCATGTGGTGGCGGTACGAAGATGTACGCTTGTTTCGCCGGTGTGTGGTTAGCAAAATCTCGGTATACAAGAAACGTCTTCATAAAGCTACCCGTCACCAGCGAATTCAGATCGGCTCACCGAGAACATAGGGGTTAAGGAGAAATTGCACATTTCACGGATTACAACGGCGAAAGTGGCACCAAAAGCTTGGCGCTACTTTCGCAGGATACAGTGACTTTAGGTTTAACTACACCCATGGGCGTACCAACCGGGGGGGGCAAGGGGGGACTTGCCCCCCCCAGTTCTCAGAGTGGGGGGGCAAGGCACGCGTTCTGCCCCCCCCCCCCCCCCCCCCCCTGAAACGGCCGCCACTGGGCAGAGCAGACACAGGCCGGCGGCGCCCAAGGAATACCAAGGGCACTGCCCCCCGACCCGCGCGGGCGTATTTTTAACGCGCAGGCGATACAAACCCTAGCAACGGTGCTCACGCAAGCCGGATTGGCTGGTTTGTGGAGCCTTGCCCCACGAACAAGGCTACACGGTAACCTAACGGAATCCATCCGCGAGACATGGGCCGGACGGGCCGTCCAGACCAGGACGTAGGCCCTTACACAAAATAAAGTTTTGCTTGCTTGCTTGGAGATAGGCGTTGCCGCCGTCAACATAGGCAGCGGATGCAATGCGAGTTTCCGAAGAGGTAGCGTAACTTAGTGGTGAAATGTCTGCCTCATACGTGTCAGACCCGGGTTCTATTTATGGTGTGGGCCGGCTTACTTCTTTTTATTTTTTTTCTCGAACATTTTGTTTTGTCGAGGCATTTGGCGATATTTACATTTCTTTTTTACCATTAACACTAAAAAAACGAATGTTGTTGACGAAACATCGCTAAACTAAATCGTATCGACTCTATTTACGGAAGTGCATGGGGGGCAGCGGGGCTTGGGTTGCCGACCGGACGCCGCAAAGCGGCGTGTACGGGGGGTGGGGGGGCTAGGTGGGTTAATAGATTTGTAATTAGCAGCCGCACACCGTCACCGCGAAGCGGCGTGAACGCAGGCGCGGGGGTGGGTTAACGCGCTTCGAGTGATACACGAGCAGCCCATCCGGCGTGAGCGTCGTTGTTAGGGGTTCTATCGCCTGCACCGTAAAAGGAGCAGTGTGTGCACCTCCTGTAGTGGGCAAGAATTCCTACATTGGAGAGAAGCGGGGACAAGCCCTTTCTTCAAATGCGTCAAGTCTCATTGAGCTTCGGAATACAAAGAAACGCCACTATTCGGAGCTAATCCCACAGTTACTCGACCTCTCTTGCGTCGTGTCTGTTCGCTCCCCGCGCCTCGTAGCAGTGTTGTTGCAGTGGGGGGGCTCGTTAAAATTTTGGGGTTTTTTGGACTATCTAAATCACTTTCTTCCTTCCCCCCCCCTCCCCCCCTTTTCTACTCCGCATGCTTCCCCCTCTGCAAATATCAGCTGACCTTCCGACATCTTTTCTGTGTTGATAGGCAAAACAACCACTAAAATTAGAAAGTAATTTGTAATTTGAGTGGAAGTCACTCGGAAAAGTAGTTAAAGTAAACTACGAATTACTAGAATATAAATGTAATTAAAAGTTACTAAACTACCCAGAAAAGTAGTTAAACTACAGTAACTTGAGTAAAGTAGTTGAACTACGTACAAGTCTGGCCCGGCAGGCGCTCTGCGTAAGGGTTTTCACCTATCTGCCTAGCCCCGCACACCATCACATGGGCCAAGAAAGGTGTAGTTTTACTGCAGAGGAGAAATCAGCAGGGTCCAAGATGGTGACAATGGAGGATGGGGGACTGTTCCAGTGGCTGATGGCTTGAGAAAGGAATGACCAATTGAAAGCGTTAGTAGAGTCAGAAATGTGCTTGATGGTGCAGACGTTGTTGAGGCGAGAAGATGTTCGGTCGGGGGTAATAACAAAGTGGTTTTGAGGTCGGGAACGTGGTAGTAGATTTTGTGAATAAAGCACAGCTGAGACTTTTCTGCGAAGCTGCAAAGAGGACATGGTTAGTTCAGTTTTTAGCGCTGAGACACTGAAAAAAACAGTCATAAGTGGATGAAATGAAGCGAGCAGCTCTGTTCTGAACTGCCTCTACAGGGTATTGATGAGGTACAGTCGATGGGTATTCCAGATGGTTGAAGCATATTCTATTTTTGGTCTGACGTACGTGTCTAAGGTTAGCTTACGAACAAAGGGTGGAGCCCTTTTTAAGTTACGTCTGCTTAGTCCAAGAGTTCCAGATGAATCGGCAGTAATGACTTCAATGTGGTTATTTTAGGGAAGGTCAGATGTTAGTCTTACATCAAGGTATTTATACACAGTAGCGGTCTCAATCAGATTGGAGTACAAGAAGTAATTAAATGACAGTGTTTGTTTTTTTTCTTGGTGAAGTGGATTAGTTTGCGTTTATACTTGTTTAATGACATAACCCACTCTTTGCACCAATTGTTAATTTTCTCGAGATCTTCCTGAAGGTGGTTATTATTTTGCACACAAGTTACTTTGTTATGGATGACGCAGTCATCGGCAAAAAAGCGGTTTTTTTAAGAAATCCCAATGGGGATGTCATTAATAAATATTAAAAAGAGTAAGGGCCCAAGTACGAACCCCAGGGGAACACCAGGAGGTTCATTTATTAAGGAAGATTCATGATCATCATGGACGTGACCTGTACACGGGAAAAAACAAAGTCACGAATCTATGCAAACGGTTATTTGGTCGAGGCAAAAAGATGATAGCTTAGAAAGAAGGCGTTGATTAAAAACACGGCCGAACGCTTTGGAAAAAAAAAAAAAAAAAAAACTGCGTCAGTTTTTTTATTTCAAGGTTCAAGGTTCAAGGTTAGTGTGCAAGTCATGGATGAAGTCGCAGAGTTGTGTTTCGCAGGAAAGTACAGTCTCCGGCGATATGAAAGACCCACTGGGAGCGCGTGGCCGAGGCGGTGGCTGGTGGGGGCGCTGCGAGCGCTCCGGGCAGTTCCATTCTGCTTCGAGGGGAGGACGCTCATTCGGCACTCGGCACAAACTGATAAGCGCGTTTCGCTTTATCTGAGCCCGAGTGAGCGTCCTCCCCTCGAAGCAGAATGGAATTGCCCGGAGGGCTCGCAGCGCCCCCGCCAGCCACCGCCTCGGCCACGCGCTCCCAGTGGGTCTTTCATATTGCCGGAGAGTGTACCTTTTTGAAAACCGTGCAGCTGTTTAAAGAAAAGAAATGGGATGATAGGTGCCTCATGATATTGGAGTAGAGGATATGCTCAAGTAGTTTGTGTTGTGTTTCTAAGACCATGGAGTACTCGCAGCCGTTGCGAATAAACCTTTAGTACATATAGAACAACTATTTACAATCAGGGTGATTCCGGTATCGGCAGACGGCAGCGTTCGGCTCGCTCGCTGGCTCGCGTCGGTCGCTCGAGCTCGCTTCTTCCTCGTCGTTCCGTGTGTCTACTTCTGGACACAACACTCCCTCAGACTAATCACAGTCCGTACCGAGACACCGGCTTGCGTGCTCTCGAGGGGTATCGGCGTTCCGCACTTTCAGACGTTGTTCGGGCA